GCCTGGTTATTCCTAACTGCCCCCCCCGCCGGCCTGGTTGCCCCTCATCCCCACCCCCACCCCCACCCCGTCGGCCTGGTCACCCCACGCAGCTTGCTGTTCAGTCTTTTGGTTGCCCTTCACTGCTTACCCCCCCCACCCCCCAGCCTGGTTGCTCCATGCAGCCTGCTGTTCGGTCTTTTGGTTGCCTCTCATACCCACCTGCCAGTCTGGTTGCCCCTCACAACCTGCTGTTTGGTTGTTACATGAGGGCATTCCGACCAATTTGCATATTACCCTTTTATTAGTATAGATGGTATTACATATGTCTCCTTTTTTTCCCCATCGGCCACTTCCACCCCAATGTGTAGAGAGCTTTTGACTGGCTACTTTAACCAACAGTTAAATTAAAAGACAACTAAATAGGAGTATTAATCCCAGGAATGAAAACTGAAAGGAAAAAGTAGGGAAAAGAAGGTGGAGTATATAGGAATAAGTATCAGTATTTGCTCTCAGGAGGACGAATTGCAATTTTGTTTAAAGTTTATCAGGCATATAGTTAACACTTTGTGTGTTTATAATTTATCCTTCAGTCCTCTGAAATGTGGGTAATAATATTCCCCCCATGTTACAGTTGAAAAACTAATTACTTATCTGAAATTATATGGTTAATGAGTGGTACCATTAGAATTTGAACTCCGGTATTTTGACTCCAAAATCAGGGCTCTTTGCCATTACTGATTTTTTTTTTTTTTTAAATATATTTTATTGATTTTGTACAGAGAGGAAGGGAGAGAGATAGTTAGAAACATCGATGAGAGAGAGTCATCGATCAGCTGCCTCCTGCACACCCCCCACTGGGGATATGCCCGCAACCAAGGTACGTGCCCTTGACCGGAATCGAACCCGGGACCCTTCAGTCCCCAAGCCGACGCTCTATCCATTGAGCCAAACCGGTCTTGGCTGCCATTACTGATTTTCTAAGAATAAAGGGAACCTTGAATTAAATAAGCTTGAGATAGGCTGCATATTAAATTCTTATCTTGGAAATTCATAGACAGTTAGCATATTATGAACTATGAGAAATTGGGCAGTAAAAGAAACTTACGTAATTTTTAAAAAATATATATTTTATTGATTTTGTAGAGAGGAAGGGGGAGAGATAGAGTTAGAAACATCAATGAGAGAGAGTCATCGATCAGCTGCCTCTTGCACACCCCCTACTGGGGATATGCCTGCAACCAAGGTACATGCCCTTGACCGGAATCGAACCCAGGACCCTTCAGTCCCCAAGCCGACGCTCTATCCATTGAGCCAAACCGGTCCCGGCGCTGTAATTTTCTTTAAATATTAAGACACTCACTTGCTCAAGGGAAGAGTTTGCTTGGCATCTTGATACCTGGAACATTTCTCTCTCCACTGTTTTGGTAAATGCCACTCAGGTTGTGTTTTTTCTTGTATCAAATCTCAAGCAATGCTAAGGACAGGAAATTAAGTCCTAACTTGGTGAAGTCAAGATACAGCCTGTAGAATTACCTAACAGACCAGCCATGTAGCTTTTTGGAAAGCGAGGGTCAGCTTATACCCCAGAGTTTACTGCAAGGTAAATTCTAAAGAATAGGTGCTTTTCTGGAGGTGAATTGCATATACACTTTGTTCACAGGATAAGTAAATATTTAGCTTTAGCTTTATTTCAGTGTGTATGTTTAAGACATTCTTTTAGAGATATTTAAGAAAAAATATTTAACCTGCAGTACATCCTATCTATGAACTTTCAGTTACAGATTCTTAGTCATGAAGTGTTCATTTTAGCTGTACCAGAGATAACATAAACCATGATTTAGGAAATGAAAGATTGTCCCTCTTGTGTGTACCATTTAAACACTGAACAGAAACTGATGTCAGAGATGGTTAGCAAATGAATGAATCAGCAGCTTATTTCCTTTTATTTTGTAAGAGGAAGTCATCAGTTTGAGGCCCAGGCCCTTGATTAGGTATTGCTTTTAGTATTCTGCGGGGGTTAATCCTATCTATGTTTTTACAGAATGTTCTTTGATTTTTATTATTTTTTTAACCCATTAATTATCCAAGTTCTTAAGTTGTATAAAATATCTGGCTAATGTTTATCTGGTTAGTATGTTTTTTTAAATTTTTTAATTGATTTCAGAGAGAGGAAGGGTGAGAGAGAGAGAAAGAAATATCTGTGATGATAGAGAATCAGCTGCCTCCTGCCTGCCTCCCTACTGGGAGTTGAGTCTGCATTCTGGGATGTGCCCTGACCAGGAATCAAACCATGACCTCCTGGTTCATGGGTCCACAGCTCAACCACTGAGACACAGTGGCTGGGCTGTGGAACACCATTTTTACTTGAGTGATTGATAGAAGACCCATGGTTATTCAGATTTGGGTATTTGGCAGACATTTTATAAAAAAAATGAAAGAATTGATATTATTTGTTGCCAATTATAAAATTTGAGCTTGACAACTCCCCATTCTTTAAAGACTTCTCTGATGAGGTCAAAGGTAATATTAACAAATATGAATTTCTGATATTGAATAATGAAATACAATATATCAACATTTTGAAGAGCCACATAAATCAGTAAACTAATATTTGCTGAGTAAAGATCCAAAGTGCAAGATAGATTAGTGGATTTTAATGTACCAGAGTACAGAAAGTTCATGATATCACATGTACCCAGAGGCAGAAAAACGAACCTTTTCTTTCTGTTTGTTGTTGTTATAAATTAAAGGAAATCTTTTTCTACTATCTCTTTGGCCAGAATTGCATCATAAGCCAAAGCCAGATCACTACCAAGTAGACTAAAATTTACAGGATTTTCCTAGCTCTGTGCTGTCCAATAAAGTAGCCACCAGCCATATGTGGCTATTTAAATTTAAATTCATTAAAACTAAATAAAATTATGGATTTCATTTTCTTAGTTGTACTCACCACATTTCAAGTGCTCCTTCATTTTACAATGCAGGTTCAGAACATGTTCATTACAGAAAGTTCTCTTGGGCAGTGCTGGCTTACATTAATCATGATCCACCCTCTGGGCACTCTCAAAGGGAAAGAGTCTTCTTTTTTTTTTACAGCTGCATAGTATTCCATGGTGTGAATGTGGCACAGCTTTTTTATCCACTCATCTGCTGATGGACACTTGGGCTGTTACCAGATCTTACCTATTATAAATTGTGCTGCTGTGAACCTAGGGGACATACATTCTTTTTAATTGGTGCTTCTGGTATCGTAGGATATTTCTAGAAGTGGGATCACTGGGTCAATTGGCAGTTCCATATTTAATTTTTTGAGGAAAGTCCATAGTGGCTGCACCAGTCTACATTTCCATCAGCAGGGACTAGGGTTTCATTTTCTCCTCGCCAGCACTTGTCATTTGTTGATTTGTTGATGGTAGCCATTCTGACAGGTGTGAGATGATACCTCATTGTCCTTTTGATTTGCATCTCTCGAATGATTAGTGACTTTGAGCATTTTTTCATATGTCTCTTGGGCATCTACATGTCTTCTTTGAATAAGTGTCTATTTAGATATTTGCCCGTTTGTCTTCCCTTTGTTGTATGAGTTCCTTATATATTTTGGCTATTAATCCTTTATCAGATGTTGTATCATTGCTAAATATGTTCTCCCATAGACTGGGCTCTCTTTTCGTTTTGTTGATGGTTTCTTTTGATGTGCAGAAGCTTTTTATTTTTATGTAGTTCCATTTATTTTTTCTTAATTTCCTTTACCTTAGGAGGGGTATCTGTAAATATATTGCTATAAGATATGTCTGAAATTTTGCTGCCTATGGATTCTTTAAAGATTTTTTGCGTTTCCGTCTGACATTTAAGTTCTTTATCCATTTTGGGTTTATTCTTGTGTGTGGTGTAAGTTGTTGGTCTAGTTTCTTTTCTTTTTTATTGATTTTTTACAGAGAGGAAGAGAGAGGGATAGAGAGTTAGAAACATCGATGAGAGAGAATCATCGATCAGCTGCCTCTTGCACACCTCCTACTGGGGTTGTGCCCGCAACCAAGGTATATTCCCTTGACCATAATCGAACCCAGATCTTTCATTCTGCAGGCTGACACTCTATCCACTGAGCCAAACCGGTTTCGGCTGTTGCTCTAGTTTCACTTTTTTGCATGTATCTGTACAACTTTCCCAACACTATTAAAGAAACTCTTGCCTCCATTGTATGCTCTTGCCTACTTTGTCAAATATTAATTGAGTGTAATGGCATGGGTGGATTTCTGGGTTTTCTGTTATGTTACATTGATCTATATGCCTGTACTTGTTCCAGTATCAGGCTGTTTTGATTATGGTAGCTTTGTAGTATATCTTGAAATCTGGTATTGTGATTCTTCCAACTTTGTTTTTCTTTCTCAAAATTGTTGCAGCTATTTGGGGTCTTTTTTGATTCCATATAAATTTTTGTTCCAGCTATGTGAAATATGCCATTGGTGTTTTAATAGGGATTGCATTGACTCTATTTGGTAGTATGGATATTTTAATGATGCTGATTCTGCCAATCCATAGTTACTATATCTTTTATCATGTGTTGAACATCCTTACCATCATTATTCTGAACTCTATATCAGAAAAATTTCTTATCTTCACTTCATTTATCTCTTCTTCTGGATAATTCTCTTGTTTTTTCATTTGGAGGTGGTTTCTTTGACTCTGAATTTTGTTTGGCTTTCTGTTTGGGTTTGTGATTTGTCTCTTCATTTTGGCTTTCTGTTTGGGTTAGGAAGATATGCTGCAATTCTCAATCTCTAGTGCAGGACAGTGTCAAATGCCATTTCTGACTAATTAGCTTAGGCAAAGACTCAAAGCCTCCAGCGACCACCTCTGCCTACAGACTGATAGGATTCCATCTTGAATGGTTCTCAGGCAAGCATCCACATGTGAGGCAAGATTTTTTTCTCCAACAGAGTGGGACAATTGCTTCTGCCTGGGGGTTAATTGTTATTCTTTCTTTTCTTAACACACATTGTACACCAGAAGCGTCTGTAGACATAATCAGTGGACCTTCCCCATATGCCACATGCGTCTATTAAAAAAAAAATGTTTTCCCTAAAGACAGCCCTGACCAACTTTAAAATCATTTTTCGTGAGAATTTTCAGCTGAAAATATTCAAGGACACCCAAATTGTGAGTAATATATTTATTTTTATAATATTCATTGCAAATTGATTATTTAAATGGAATTCAAAATATTGTGGTGTGTGGGGATGGCTTCCATTTTGGACACATTGCAGTTAACTGGTTAATTTTATTGGTTTCAGGGAACTATGATTTACTTGACAAAATTACTCTATATATTTGTCAGTTGTAGTTAGGTAGTTGAAAAATGCCAATAAACTATGTTATTTATGTTTATTTCTTGTGCTGTCCAGATGATATTGGGACTCCATAAGTTATTACAACTATGAATTTGGATTTAACTGTTTTAGTGCTTTCCATCACCTAAGTATCGTTTCTACTCTGCTATTGCTCATCATGGTAGCAGGAAAAGGATATAATCATTGATAGTCTCCTTGAATTTCTAGTCATTCTTGTACTTTTGGGGTCTTGTGATCGTTCCATTCAAAGAGAAGAACGGTAGCTGGAAGGATACTGACTTCCTCTCCCCTTTCCTGCGTATTAAAGGTAGGGCCAGACCAGCTCTGCATTCTTCGTGTCTTACTGCCCCTTGTGAGGGCGGGTGTGTGTGTGGGGGGGAATCATCGCCAGTTAATGCACATACTATTGTAAAAGTCCTGACTTGATACTTGGTCCAGATAAGGAGCATGACTATTGTCAGTATAAGAATGTTATTTTTATTACACTGTTTCTCTCAACTGAGCATGTTTTGGTTATACCAAAAAAATTGTAAAAGCCCTGCTTTGGAAACACTTGACAATGGCTATTATTTAAAAGGAATAGGAAAACAGGAAGTTGAGCTTTTCATTGTTCATAACCTTTACAAAGTTCTGTAATTTAATGAGCCTTAGACTTTGGAGTATTCAGGCTAAAATTTAGATTGAATCAGATAGCAAACATTTTTGTTTGAGTCTTTTAGAAATTGTTTTTCATAATAATTGTATACTTTTGTGCTTTCATAAAACATACTGAATACAGTTTAATGTTTACTTGACTGTTAAGGCTGTGGTAGGACTTCTAACTCTTGTCTGTCAGTTACTCTTACTGATTTATAGATGTAGATGCTATAAGAGAGAGGTGACCACATAGCACATCACCCTGATTTTCTTTTCTTTTTTTCTTTTTTTTAACTGTGCTCGCATACTTCTATTTTGTGTCTGCGGGACTAGATTTAGTTATCTAACTGTTAAGTGCGTTATTTGATATGCTCTACCGAAACTTATTATTCAGTAATCAAAAGCTCGGTGGATGGGCCATGTTTTTACAAAAGTAATTTAATATTTTCCCACTGAATGTTGACAATTTGGGCACTGATGGTGAACTCTTGGGCTTTTCCAAGCTGTAGTTTCCTCACATTTAATCCCCGCAGCGTCAGTGAAGGGTAAATTGGTAACTTGCACAAACCTCAAGGAGCCCAATTTGAGTAGCTGTTTTCTTCTGTTTGAGGAAGAATTGAACTGTCACTGTTTTCTCTTTTTCTGTTTTGTTGTTGGTGTTATGTTGTTTCACATGCAAATTTATTCCCTCACCAGCTTTCATAATGCATTCTGTAGCTTTTCTGAATTGCCACGAAAAGGTGAATTTTACTTAAGGTGATTAAAAAGTTTTAAAAATTAATTTGTTGATTAATTTTATTTTTTTGTCTTTATTTTTTATTAATCCTCGAGGATTTTCACTGTTTTTAGATAGGTAGGTAGATAGAGATCGATCTGATATTCCTCCCAGCCATTTACCCACTGGTTGACTCCTGTATGCCCCCCTGGGGATTGAACTAAAAAACCTGGGGCAGCCCTAACTGGTTTGGCTCAGTGGATAGAGCATCGGCCTGTGGACTGAAAGGTCCCAGGTTCCATTCTGATCAAGGGCATATACCTTGGTTTCAGGTACATCCTCAGTAGGAGGTCTGCAGGAGGCAGCTGATTGGTGTTTCTCTCTCGATGTTTCTAGCTCTCTATTTTTCTCCCTTTCTCTCTGTAAAAAAAAATCAATGAAATATATATTTTAAAAAAAAAAACAACACACAACTTTGTGCATTGGGACCACACTCCATCCAGCTGAACCACCCTGCTAGGGTTAAAAATAGTGGTTTTTATAGTGAGGTTCCTGTACTATCAGCATCTGTACCACTTGAGAACTTTCCAGAAATGTAGATTCTTGGCTCTGCCACAGATCTTCTGAGTCAGAAACTTTGGGGTGAGACTCAACCATCTGTATTTTAACAAACCCTTTAGGTGATTCTGCTGCAACTTTGACTTTGAGAATGACTGATCTAGATCCACGAATTTGCAGCATTTTGGACAAATTCTGAAACTTTTTCTCCATGTGCTTTGATTTGTATCGTATCTTCTCTCTTTTAATCACTCTTAAAACAATATCAAAAGAATCAGGATGGCTCAGTGGTTGGGCGTTCACTTATGAACCAGGTGGTCACTGTTCCATCCCCATTCAGTTTCCCTGGAAATAAGACAGTGTCTTATATTAATTTTTTCTCCCAAAATTGCGCTAGGTCTTATTTTCAGGGGATGTCTTATTTTTGGGGAAACACGGTATGCCTGGGTTGTGGACTTGATCCCCAGTGTCAGGCGTACAGGAGGCAGCCGATCAATGATTCTCTTTCATCATTGATGTTTCTATCTCTCTCTCCCTCTCCCTTTCTCTCTGAAATCAATTAAAAAAAAAAAAAATATATATATATATATATATATATATATATATATATATGAATAAAAGAACCAGGAAATATGACAATTTGTATTACAGTTTTTTACCTTGCTAAAATGTGTACATTTTTAATGTTAGTGAAAATGACTTTTTAAAAATACTTTTTTGTTGAAAATATTATGTCACACTTTTTTGCCCATTGACTCCCTGCAGGCCCTCCCTCCCCGCCCAGCCTTCAGCATCTTTTTGTCTGTGCCCATGGGTTGTGCACTCAAGGTCTTTGATTACCACCCGCCCGCCCATCTTCCCTCTGAGATTCCGCACTCTGTCCCATGCTTCCACGGCTCTGGGTTCATTCTGTTCAGCAGGTTATTTTGTTACTTAGATTCCACGTGTGAGTGCGATCATGTGATACTTGTCTTTCTCTGACTTGTTTCACTCAGCATGATGCTCTCCAGGTCCCTCCATGCTGCCTCAAAGGGTGTAAGATCCTTCTTTTTTACAGCTGCATAGTGTTCCATGGGGTAAATGTCCCACAGCTTTTTATTCACTCATCTGCTCATGGGCACTTGGTTGTTTCCAGATCTCAGCTATTGTAAGTTGTGCTGCTGTGAAAATAGGGGTGCACACTTTCTTTCTGATGGGTGCTTCTGGTTTCTTAGGATGAAAATAACTATTTTTTTGATGTTTGGCGTCAGGTGGTTGTTTTTGTGACATTTGAATGACTAAATTAATTCCTTTGGACAGATGAAAATGTCAATGTATTTTATTTGTCTAACGCAGGAGTTCTTTGCCTTTAGACATATTATACTCCTGGAGAGTTGTAAATAAAAATCCTTATTATATAGACGCTTTCCTTCACCTGCTCGCCTTTCTCAGGAGAAAACTGGATGAATTGATGCAGTGGTGATAAAGAATATATCTTTAATCGAAAATGTCAAGTTGGTATGCAAAATATATGTGATAAACTGGGGGTCCCCTCTAATGTTCATTTTAGGCCATTATCTGGAGATATAGCTGTGCACTTTGCATACCAAAATGCATAGGCACCTAGCTCCGAACAGTGGCCCAGCACTGTGGGGTGCCCCCGCAGACCTCCATGGGCATCACTCAGAGTTTTTAATTTTCCAGGGAAGCATAGTGACATTAATAAAAACATCACACAAACAGCTAGCTCACAATAGTTCACAATTCAGCGTTAGATCACATTCCTTTTGATCTGATGTATTTTTGCAAAGCTGGGATTTTGGTCATTGTCATGAATAAAGCAAGCACTTTGTAAAAGTCAGTGTGAAACAGGAAGGATGGCAGTATCAGATTTGATTCTAAGAATCAGAAATTGAGAAGTTGTGAAATACTCATAAGGTGCTAAATTAAGCTGTTAGGACATAAACACTTATTAAGAGTGGCTCTAAGAAAAGTGTTAGGAACTTCTTTTGGCATAGAACATGCAAATAAAAGAGAAATGACCAAGATTCTAAGGGAGTTGTGACCTGAGAAAGTCTGGGAGCTTCTGGTTTGGGCTAAATGTTTGTTTATTTTTGTTTTGTTTTTGGTAAATTTTATTTTGGACTTTAGGTATGCTAAAAAGTTGTTCAAGAGAATAAGAGGAGAAAGGCCAGGGAATTGTAAACAGTGCAGGAGGAGAAGGAAACATGAGGTAGTGGCATAAGGACCTAGGGCCATATGCTTTGGTTTTGAGTCCTAGTTCTTTGCCTAACTATATGACTGGCTGAGGAACCAACTTTCCTAAACCTGCTTTATTCATAAAAATAAGAATGATAACACCTCGTAAGGATTAAATGAGATGATGTAGGTGAGTGTGCTTTATAGAATTTGGTGTGTGGTGGGCTGAATAGGAGCCTGAGAGTTATCACATCCTAGTTCCTGTCACCTTGAGCATGCTCAGGTTTTGCAGATGTGATCTAGTTAAGGATCTTGAGATGGGGACATTACCTTGGGTAACCACAGCAGGTCCAGTGTAATCATACAGGTCCTTTATAGAGATCAGAATGGGTAGTAGGCGATTTGATGATGGGAGTAAGCGGTTGGAGCGATGTGATAAAGGGGATATGAGCCAGAGTATAGACAAGCGTGCCTCTGGAAGTTGAAAAAGACAAGGGAACTAATTTTCCCCTCAGACCCTCAGAAGGAACCAGCCCTGCCAACACCTTGAGTTTTGGCTCCACAAGATGCAGATTTATGCCTCCAGAGTGAGAGTAGGTTTGTGCTGTTTTAAGTCACTAGGTTTATGGTAATTTGTTACAGTAGCAATAGAAAACTAACCTGGGATGTTACTCCAGTTGAAAGGGGGAAAGTTTCTTTAAGAAGCCATTAGTCTAGCCCTGGCCTCTTTTGCTCAGTGGTTAGTGTCAGCCTGTGGACCAAAGGATCTTGGGTTCGATTCCCTGTCAAGGGTACATACCTTGGTTTCCGGTTCAATCCCATGCGGGAGGCAACCCATCAATGTCTCTCTCATATGTCAATTTCTCTGTCTCCCCCTTCTTCCTTCCACTCTGTCTGAAAATCAAAAGGAAAAATTATCTTCAGGTGAGGATTAAGAGAGAGAGAGAGAGAGACAGAGAGAGACAGAGAGAGAGAGACAGAGACAGAGAGAGAAAAGAAAAGATGCCAGAACCGGTTTAGCTCAATGGATAGAGCGTCCGCTTGGGGACTGAAGGGACCCAGGTTCGATTCCGGTCAAGGGCATGTACCTTGGTTGCGGGCATATCCCCAGTAGGGGGTGTGCAAGAGGCAATTGATGGATGACTCTCTCTCATCGATGTTTCTAACTATCTCTATCCCTTCCTCTCTGTACAAAATCAATAAAATATATTAAAAAAAAAAGAAAATAAAAGAAAAGAAAGAAAGAAAGAAAGAAGCCATTAGTCCAGCCCTGCTGGGTGGCTCGGTTGGTTAGAGCATTGTCCAAAAAGATTGTGGGTTTGATTCCCAGTCAGGGCACATATATAACATATATCTAGGTTGCAGGTTTGAGATCCTTTCTGGGTGTGTATGGGAGGCAATTGATTGATGTTTCTTATATATGTAGATGTTTCAGTCCCTCTTAAAAAAAATTTTTTTTTTTTTTCCGGGAGGCGGGGGGAGGGGAGAGAAACATCAATGATGAGAGAGAATCATTGGTTGGCTGCCTCCTGCAAGCCCTTTACTGTGGATTGAGCCCAGAACCCAGGCATGTGCCCTGACTAGGAATCAAACCATGGCCTCCCGGTTCATCTATTGACCTGCAACTAGTGAGCTCTCCCTCTTTCTGTTTCCCTTCCTCTCTCTCTCTCTCAAGTCAATAAACATACCCTTGGGTGAGGATTTTAAAAAACAATCAATCTGGGGGAGATAAGAGAAAAAAATAAACTCACATTTCTTTTTCATGGTGTGGAGTCTGGAATAGCAGTAGTTGGCTTTTTAGACTTCCCACACTGTGCCATAAACTTCCATGGTGTGGGTATGTTGAGAAGATTCCTTTGACCGTAGCACTCAGATGGCTGTAGCAAATGGGCTGTGGGGAGGACTCAGAAACCTCTGCATCGTCTGAGATAGGAGTGTTCCGGGAGCCGAGTTCCCTCGGTAGGTCCTGGAGCTTCCTTCACTGATCCTCCATCATATGCCTCAGCCAAGTGTGGTCCAGCAAGCTCCTGTAGAACAGTTTCTCCAAGCCTTATGTGTTTGTTTGCACACACAAGGGTAATATTTTAGAACCAATCTGAAATGTAAACTCGTGGTTTTCCGTGCCGGGCCATTCAGCCCGAGGAGGCATCTGAGCAGTGTCTGTCTGTCTGTATACAGGGGTGGGCAAAAGTAGGTTTACAGTGCATATCTGTTTACACCGTGAGGAATGGTTATTTTTACGGAATCCTGTCAACTTCCTTTCAGTTCCAGATTTTCAAATAAAAACATTGCCTGCTTGCCTTGGCTGGTATGTCTACGTGGTTAGAGTGTTAAAGGGTTGTGGCTTTGATGCCCAGTCAGGGGCATGTGCCTGCGTTGCAGGTTTGATTCCTGGCCCCAGTTGGGGTGCATGCAGGAGGCAACTGATCAGTGTTTCTCTCTCTCTCTTTCTTTCTCTTCCCCCCACCCCCTTGTTCTTTCTTCTCCCTCTGTCTTTTCCACTTTCTAAAAATCAATGGGAAAAATACCCTCAGGTGAGGATTAACAAAAAACCATACACACACACAAGAACAACACTTCAAACTAGAAGCATGGACTTATAAAGTAGCAGCTGTCATTAAAAAAGTGATAAGGCTGGAGGATATGAAAACTAAGGGAAAGTATGTGTGGGAAGACTTAGAGCCTGTAACCCAGAGTTGTTTTCAAGAATCTCAGCAAAACAAAATTTTTCTAGTCCCAAAAGGTATAAACCACATGTATTATTCACTGATTAGACTAGTTCAAAGCTAACTACAATGCCTGGTATAATTCAGACATTATTTTTGGACATATTCTCAGGTGCCATATGCATATATCTTACAGAGTACGTTGGTCTCTGTTTTTTTTAGAGCAATTTGGATGTTCTAAGTAAAATTCATTTTACCTCTATTTGCTATATATTGGTAACCTAACTTCCAAATCTTTTATTTATGATGTTTTTATTGATTTCAGAGAGAGGAAGGGAGAGCAATAGAAACATCAATGATGTGCCCTTCTGGGAATAAAGCCCATAACTAGGGCATGTGTCCTGACTGGGAAACCAGCAATCTCCTGGTGCATGGGATGATTCTTAACCAACTAAGCCACACTGGCTGGGCTCAAATCTTTTTTATTTTATTTTTATTGATTTCAGAGAGTAATGGAGGAGAGAGATAGAAACATCTATGATGAGAGAGAATCCTTGATCGGCTGCCTCCGGCATGCCCCCTACTGGGGATCGAGCCTGCAACCCTGGCATGTGCCCTTGACCAGAATCGAACCCAGGACCTTTGAGTCCTAGGCTGATGCTCTATAATCAGGGGTCTTCAAACTTCTCTCATTATGAGAATCACCTGGTGGAGGTGTTAAAACACAGATTCCTGATAGCACTTCTTATAGTTGGGATCCGGGAATCTGTGTTTTAACAACTCCACCAGGTGATTCTCATAATGAGAGAAGTTTGAAGACCCCTGCTCTATATGCTGAGCCAAACCGGCTAGGGCCGGGCCCAAATCTTTTAAGCAGTTGCTGGGTGAACAGATAACCTGTTTCAGCTGCTTAACCAACAGCTTGGGAAAATGTTCTGCCAGTTGGCTAAATTTTGTAGAAGTGGGTACCAATTACACAGAATTTTTTACCTTTAGTAGGCTGACCTAGATGGTTTGATATACAGTGAAGCTTTTTAGAGTTGATCAATCCATCTAGTAATACTGTTAGAGAGGAGATTATCAGGGATATATGTAAGTTTAGCTTTAGTTTTACTTTTATTAATGTAAAAGCATTTACATAATAAGTTTGCATTACATCCTGGGCCCCGAAATATTATTTTTAAAAGAAAATCTGAATGTCATACGTATCATCTCTCGTTTGCTCAATTTTTTCTTTTTTTAAAATATATTGTATTTTATTGATTTTCCACAGAGAGGAAGGAAGAGGGATAGAGAGCTAGAAACGTTGATGAGAGAGAAACGACCAGCTGCCTCCTGCACACCCCCTACTGGGGATGTGCCTGCAACCAATGTACATGCCCTCAACCAGAATCGAACCTGGGACCTTTCAGTCCGCAGGCCAATGCTCTATCCACTGAGCCAAACCTGTTTCGGCTGCTCAATTTTTCATCATCATTGTTTTTCCACAGAGAGGTGATAAAGAGTAGTTTATGCACAACTTCTTGAAGGATTTTTTCCCTTTACAGTTTGCTTACTTTGTTTACTCTTCACTTAAACATTAAAGAGCAGCAATGTCAAGCACCTGTGAGAAACCTAGCCTTTTCCCTTGGTTTGTGTGACTTTTGGAAATCAGACAAGTTTGATTTTGGGTTTTTTAAATTTTAAATACATAGATTAATTCTCAAGTCCTTGTAAAAAATGCAGATGGTTGAAAGAGCATAGCAATTCTCAAATAATACTTGTTAAGCTCGCTCACTTTAGGGTAAACTTCTCAGTCATTCAGACTAAACAAGAATTGGCAGTGCTCACCCTCCCATCTCCCAGCCCCCCTCTCCTATGCTGAGGGATTTAATTTGAGTTCTTAGTTCTGTATGAGAATTTTAGACCCGTATGCATCCCCTCTATTCTTCAGCTCACTCCAGGGCTGTAGGATCCAGTGGCTGTGGTTCGGCTTGTTTTCTCAGACTCTTTCCTTGAGATTTATATCCTGATCCTGGTATATTAGAAAATGGCCATTGGAAAACAATGAGATTAGATATGCAAGTACAATTTTTGCTTCTAGTGCCAACTAGCGCTGCCTTGAGGCTCTCTGTTACATCAGTACTAGGGAATTTTCTTTTTCTTTAATAGATTCTGGCTGCTCAGTTCATTGGAGCTGGTAAAAAGGTCAGAATTCATTCTTTCTTGTACACATGGACCACGTTCTCATCCCACTCAGTGCTGGTGAACAAAAACAGTGCTGGTTTTATTTTGTTTTGTTTGCATACTGCCTTACTTTCCCTTTTCTGTCACCAGACATTCAACTGCTTATAAAAGCACTCTCTACCCAAGCCAGAGAGTATTCCCATTTATCTCAGCAGTTAAGACAAGTTCTTATTCACTGTGGCTAAAAGCAAGGATGCATACTCGAGGTGGTTATGTATGGAAGGATAGGAGGACAAGACCAGTGCTCTGCTATGGAACATTATGAATATTGGCATTGTTTTTAAATTAAATTCTTCATTGTATTACATATGTCTCCTTCCCCCCCCCCCCCATTGACCTCTCCCCAGCCGCTCCCACCCCCAGGGCTATGGTCGGCAAACTGCGGCTCAAGAGACCCTTGAGTGTGGCTCTTCCACAAAATACACGGCCTGAGCGAGTCTATTTTGAAGAAGTGGTGTTAGAAAAAGTTTGTTTCGGCTCTCAAAAGAAATTTCAATCGTTGTGCTGTTGATATTTGGCTCTGTTGACTAATGAGTTTGCTGACCACTGCCCCAGCACATGCCCTCACCGCCCCCGCCCCCCAACTGACTTGTGTCCATTGGTGATGCTTCTGTGCATGCATGGAAGTTATTTGGTTGATCTCTTACTCTTCCCCTGCCTTCTCTCAGGTTGGACGGTCTGTTTGGTGCTTCTGGCATTGGGTTTTGTTTGTGTGTGTTTTTCCATTAGACTAAAAGCCAGTTCAGATGGCTACCTTAAAAATAAACCTAATCTGTATTTTCAGCCTCCCTAGAGAGAGTAAATTCATATTTTCCTTTTTCCTCTTTTTTTAAATTTTTATTTCTTTCTACTTAGCGTTGAAATCAATGTTGCATCTTTCATTATTATTTTGGTTTATTTTGTTCATTTGAATCTTCTTTTCTCTTTTTCTTTATGTTTGGTTCTATGCATAGTGAAGTTTGAGGCTATTGGTACAGATATTCTCTAACATAAAACTTCATTTATTTGGTTTATAAGCCCAAATCTTATTTTACTTCTTCCTGAGCCTGAGGAGAAATCTTAGAAAAGTCCATTGAGATTTAGGTTATAAACATACTACTTAATTACTGCACAAGGTTAACCACAGAGTCTGCTGTCACAATGGAAATACCCACAGAGGACCTGAAAGAAGCCCCCATACTTCCACCCCATGAACTCTGTTGCTCTGACTGTGATCTGGCTCATAGCTTGATGCTCAACCACTGAGCCACACAGGCAGGCCAATCTCCTCCTCCTTAGGGAACAATTCAAGTATCGCCTCTTCAGAAGAGCTGCTGCCAGTGACCTCTGCAATTGGAAGCAGTCTCTTCCTCCTCTCCCGTAGTGTCTGTTCCTTTTATTGAACCAGGTGTCTTCCTGGTTCATTTAGAGTTGTTCATGTGAATTTTATCTCCCACTTCCATTGTCAGCTTGGGAGCTGTAAGTTTTTACTATGTCCCATAGTGCTGACGCAGTGCCAAAGGCGGGACTGTGCTTTGGGAGGGCTCGGAAAAACATCTGTCCAGCACACTTTCTAAAGCACATGTGTCAAACACAAGGCCCGCGGGCCAAATCCGTCCCGCCAGGCCTTGCAATGTGGCCTGCACCGAGCTGTCATCACTGCACTCCGCTGCGTTTCCATCACAATGACAGTTTATGACTGTTCAGTAAACCATTCGGCCCGCGATTTAGGCTGGATTTTAGATTTTGGCCCCTTCTCTGATTGAGTTCGACACCCCTATAATCTAAAGAGTCTTCCTGGCCCTGGCTGGTTTGGCTCAGTGGATAAAGCATTGGCCTGCAGACTGAAGGGTCCCAGGGTGATTGCGGTCAAGAGCACGTGCCCAGGTTTTGGGCTCGATCCCCATTAGGGGGTGTGCAGGAGGCAGCTGATAGATGTTTCTCTCTCATCATTGATGTCTGTCTGTCTGTCTCTCTCTCTCTCTCTCTCTCTCTCTCTCTCTCTTCCCCCCCTCCCAGCCCCCCAAACCCCTTCCTCTCGGAAATCAAGAAAAAATAATTGAAGAAGAAGAAGAAAAAAAAAAAAAGAGTCCTCCAGTGCAGGTTGGATTTCTGACATTAAATTTCAGTGTGACTATTTGTCATTCAAACCAGATTTTAGGTACTTGGTGCTTTTAAGATTGATATACTATTTCCTGTTTTTATGAATGTTTTCTTAAATACTATATTTTTAATTTTTTTGAAAATTAATAACTTTACATGTATAAAATAGGAATAACAATAATAACTGTCACAGGGCTATTTTGGGTATTAAATGGTCTAATTTACTCAAAGCAATTGACATAGAACCCTACATATATTAAATGGTCAATAAACTAAGCAGCTGTCATTACTTCTAGAAATTTAGGATTTGAGCTGAAACCGGTTTGGCTCAGTGGATAGAGCGTCAATCTGTGGACTGAAGGGTCCCAGGTTCGATTCCGGTCAAGGGCATGTACATTGGTTGTGGGCACGTCCCCGGTAGGGGGTGTGCAGGAGGCAGCTGGTCTATGTTTCTCTCTCATCGATGTTTCTGGCTCTCTATCCCTCTCCCTTCCTCTCTGTAAAAAATCAATAAAATACATTTTTTTAAAAAGGAAGAAATTTACAATTTGAGATTTCAGGTTTTTGGTGTATGTATGAAGGCAAATGCTGCTGCTGCTGATGATGATTTTTGTTTTGAATGATGCTGAGTAGTTTCCTAGGAATTAAACTAGCCCTGAAATGTTATGTCAGCTGAGAATTTTGGTTTCTAGGTGACAGTATTGAAAATAGGAAATAGAACTGGCTCTCCCGTCAGAGAAGAAAGCTTTCTGTGGGAATCCTTGGTAGCCTTTTTGTTTTATCAGATTCTTCTTTCTCAGCGCTCAGATGACAATGACAGTCACGTCCTGGCTGGTGGCTCAGTTGGTTGGAGCATTATCCCCGTGCACCAGAAGGTTGCCGAGTTTGATTCCCAGTCAGGGCACGTAACTAGTTTGCAAGTTCAGTCCCCCATCAGATGCTTATGGGAGGCAACCAATTGATGTTTCTTTCTCACATTGTTGTGTGTGCCCTCCCTTTCCTCTCTTCAGTCAAAAAACATATCCTTGGGTGAGGATAAAAACATAATAGTGTAAAGTAGAGAATAGAGAAGAACCTCTGCAAAAAGGATCAGCAGAACTTCTGGGAACTAACTGCCTGGAGAGATGAAAAGCAGTTTTTGTTTTATTTCTGTGTGTTAAGCACACACTTAGTAGAAACGATAAACACCATAATAGGAAGGGAAAGCTCTATCAGATAGAGGTGGCTGAGACACAAATTCCCAAAGTATCCAAAGGGCTGTGAGTGGGACCTGATTCAAGGAGCCATCAGCTGTGGATACATCCCCCTTTTGTAAAAAAGGAGCAAGCTTAGTTGGGGATGAGGACTGATAGACACACAGCACATCACAGTGAGCAGAACTATGTAAGGGCTGGCTTCCTTCAGGGCCACAGCAAAATCTGCATAATAGAACTTGCAGCTGAAATGGAGGAAGGCAGTGATGAGTACAAACAAAACAATCCATGTCATAAATATTGGCAGCATCTTCATTTTATAGTAGACTGGAACTTGGAACTGAATTCCTGACTTCCCCTTCCATTCCCAACACACACACACACACACACACACACACACACACACACGCACACGCACACATGCACGCACGCACGCACGCACGCACTCACTCATGTTCCACCTGTATTTAGCCTTCCCATCTCAGTGGGTGGTGGCTTCACCTTTCCAGTAGCTTGGACCAAAACCACCATAGTCATCCTTGGCTCCTCTTTCGGTCATGGTCATGTTTAATCTGTCAGAAAATCCTGCAGACTTTATCTTCAAGATATAACTAGAATCAGATCACTTCTCACCACTAACAGGACTTTTATCCTAGTACCAGCCACCATCTATCGTCCTTTGCCTGGAATTCTGCAGTAGTCTACATTCTCTGCTTTTGCCTTACCCCTCTACAATCTGTTCTTGATACATCAGCAGATAGTCACTCCTTTCCCCCCGACTTTTTAAAAAAGGTATAATTTGCAAACAGTAAAATTCATTCTTCAGGCTCACAGGTCTGTGAATTTTGACAACACACATGGTCTTGTATTGACCACCATAATCAAGAAATAGAATGTTTCCATTGCCCCAGAAAGTTACCTCATGCCCTTTGTGTTCAGTAAGTCCCCTCCTTCTACCCCTAGCTTCTGCACAGGGTCTCTTTAGTTTTTTTTTAAATTTATTGGATGACACTGGTTCCTCCCTTTAGTTTACCTTTTCAAAGATATCATGTAAGTTAGATCTTTCATTTAGCATATGTATTTAATTTTTGAGATCAGGTGCATTCAGGTTGGTAGGCCGGAGACTAGTATACTGTATTTAAGATTCATCCACATTGCATCAATCAGTAGTTTGTATCTTTTTATTGCTGAGTAAGTACTCCATTGTATAAAGGTACTGCAATTTATTCACTAGTTGATGGTCTTTTGGATTATTTCCAGTTTTTAGCAGTTCTGGATACAGCTGCTATAAACATTCACATTTAGAATGTTGTGTGTACATACATTTTAATTTCTGTTAGGTCTTATGGTAACTTGTCTAACTTTATATGTAACTGCCAAACTATTGCTGTAGTGATTATACCATTTTTTCATTCCTATTGACAATGTTTGAAATTTCTAGTTGCTAGGGTCTTTTCACATTAAGGGTTCAGGAATCTGGAGAAGAGGCTGCGACTTACATGGATTGAGACTAGACATGAAATGGAAATTTGGGGGGGCCAGGAGAGGCTCCACTTTCTAGTCAGGACCCAGGGCTTTTTATTCACACATTTTGCCCTTTAGCACAGCAAATATACATATCAAAGGTAAGATTTGATAAACAGTAAAAGATTATTAGCTTCGGGGAAATGCCTCCGGCTGGTCCAGCAGCAGGTGCAGATTTCAGCCCTGCTGTATATGTCCTGCTGGACTTAGCCTCCAGCACTAGCAGCTTAACATCTTCATCAGCACTTGTTACAGTCACCTTTTGTTTTTTAGTTCGAACCATCCTACTAGGTATATAGCTGTATCTCTATGTAAAATTTTTCATTTTCTTTTTTTTCTTTTTAAAAAAAATATATTTTATTGATTTTGTACAGAGAAGAAGGGAGAGAGATAGAGAGTTAGAAACATCAATGAGAGAGAGTCATCGATCAGCTGCCTCTTGCACACCCCCTACCGGGGATATGCCCGCAACCAAGGTACATGCCCTTGACCGGAATCGAACCCGGGACCCTTCAGTCCCTAAGCCGGCGCTCTATCCATTGAGCCAAACTGGTCTCGGCTAATTTTTCATTTTCTAATGACTAATGATGGTTAAACATTTCTATGTATGTATTTACCATCTACACCTTTTCTTTGGCAAAGTGTTCAGATTTTTGCTAATTTTTTAAATAGTGGGTCATCTGTTTTCTTTTTTATATTGGTCGTCTGTTTTCTTACTGAGTTGGGATAGTCATGTATATTCTGGTTAACAATTCTTTATCTGATACATATTTTCAGAATTTTCACCAGGTCCAGGGCTTGTCTTTTTATTTTCTTAACAATGTCTTTTTTTTCTTTTTAAAAAAATATATTTTATTGATATTTTACAGAGAGGAGGACCAGAGAGAGAGAGAGAGCTAGAACGTCGATGAGAGAGAAACATCGACCAGCTGCCTCTTGCACACCCGCTATCCAGGATGTGCCCGCAACCAAGGTACATGCCCTTGACCGGAATCGAACCTGGGACCTTTCAGTCCGCAGGCCGACTCTCTATCCACTGAACCAAACCGGTTTTGGCTTCTTTTTCTAGTTTAAGATGGAAGCTTAAATAATTGATTTTAAAACGTTTTACTTTTTTTCCAATATAATCTTTAATGCTATATATTTTCCTCTAAACACTGCTTTCGCTGCATCTTACAAATTTTGTTACGTTGTGTTTTTATCTTCAATTCAAGGTATTTTGTAATATCTCATTGATCTCTTATATTGTCCCAAATATTTCAGGATTACACAGATATTTGTGTATGAGTGATTTCTAATTTAATTTCATTGTAGTTGCAGCACATATTTTGTGTAATTTTTTTCAGTCTTTAATTGTTTTTATGGCCTATTTTGGAAGATGGTTCATGTGTGTTTTGTTCATAGCTCTTAGAAAGTGCATTTTAATCCATGATCTCTTGTATAAAAGGCTCATGGCCGTCAAGACCGAACCTGGTTGGTGAGCTACGAATGGCAGAGAGCTAGGAGCGGTGGAGGGCGGGGCAGCCAGCTACGAATGGCCATGGGCAGGTCGGCCAGCCTTGGCAAGCAGAAGCGAGCATTGTGCATGCTGGGCCTCTAGTATAACATAATGATCTGGATTGGAGGGAGGAGTATTGTGAACTGGTTTAGAGCTTCATCTCCAGATCTGGAGCCAGACTGTCTGGGCTGGAATGCTAGCTCTGCTTTCTTCTTGGGCAAATTAGTCCACCTCTCAGTGCTTCCGGATCTTCATCTCTGGAATGGCTAGTAATGGCGCTTTCCTCAAAGGGGTGCTGCGGAGATGAAGTGAATTAAATGTAAATAGCTAGTACAATGTCTAATACAGCGATTTTCAGTCTTTTTTCACATCATGGCACACACAAACTACTTACTAAAATTTTGTGACACACAAAAAATATATTTTTTGCTTATCAGACAAAAAAAGAAAAGATACAATTTTGAGTCACACCGAATGGCTATTGTTGTGTTGGCTGTTGTCATTTTAAATTTAGCAACCTAAGGGAAAATGACTAAACAGTAAGGTATGGCATGCTTAAAAAATTTTTATAATTGAAAATTGCTGGTCTAACACATAAGACCAACTAATACTTTGAGTAAGAGTGCTCACAGTATCAGTTATTACTATTATTGTTATTATTACAGCAGTTTTATATCTTAGTCTCATAGGCCTTTTGGATAAGGCTGTGTTTGGTTGCTTGCGTGTTTTTTAAATAATTACTCCCCCTTTAAAGGTTTTGTTTTTTTTTTTTTTTTTTTTTTTTATATTTTATTGATTTTTGTACAGAGAGGAAGGGAGAGAGACAGAGAGTTAGAAACATCGATGAGAGAGAGTCATCGATCAGTTGCCTCTTGCACACCCCCTACCGGGGATATGCCCGCAACCAAGGTACATGCCCTTGACCGGAATCGAACCCGGGTCCCTTCAGTCCCCAAGCCGACGCTCTATCCATTGAGCTAAACCGGTCCCGGCTAAAGGTTTTGTTTTTAATATTTGTTATTTAAGGGAGGCCAGTTAACATCTGTTTGAGTGTTCGTTGAACCCATGTGTAAAGAGAAAACAGAATTTGGAAAATCTGTAGAAGCTTTAAAACACTGTAACTTAAACTCTGGTTAGAATTTGATTCTAAATCAAGTTTCCTCTGAAAATATTCTCCCAGGTTCAGAAATTTCCAATTATAGAATAGAATCCAGCACCCTTTATAGCCAACAAGGGAAAAATAGTCTTTTTTTGTGTTTGTGTGTGTTTAGTGTGACTTAAAATTTTTGACATTAATCTTATGAATGTCTCACTTTTTGTTGAGATTAATTAGAAAACTCAAAAGTGAAATTACTCAGGCCTTCTCATTCTAATTTCAGTTTCGTAAATTTGTATTGGGCTTTCTTTCCCTCTCCTGAAGTCCTGGACTGTCATTATTTCATCTGAATTTTTAGAGGAGTGAAATGAAAGACTTCAGTCATTGATTCTTTGTTTATATCTCTGAAAAAACAAAACAGAAACAAGGATATTAAATACTCCTATAATTACTGAGGACAGAAGAGTCCTCTCCAGACAGAAGTGACTGCTCTGTGGAGATATGCACACAGAATGCGTGAGAGCTCTGGGCTCACACTGTCTGGATGTGATCCAGGCTCTGTCACCTGCTAGCTTTGTGACATTGAACAAGTCATCGAACACCTTTCTACTCATCAATTTCATCATTTTAGAGATGATAAAAGGGTGGTAATGAGAATTAAATAATGAAATTAAAGTACCGTGTAATGAATACTTGGCATGTAATAAATGCTTAACAAATATTGTTTGCTGTCATTGTGGTTGTTACTATTTGTATTTAGGTTTGTTTTTTAATATATTTTATTGACTTTTTGCAGAGAGGAAGAGAGAGTGATAGAGAGCTAGAAACATTGATGAGAGAGAAACAGCGACCAGCTGCCTCCTGCACACTCCCTACTGGGGATGTGCCCGCAGCCAAGGTACATGCCCTTGACCGGAATCAAACCTGGGACCTTTCAGTCTGCAGACCGACACTCTATCCTCTGAGCCAAACCAGTTTCGGCTGTATTTAGTTTCTGAATCAAGAGTTAGCAATTATGTTTTTACCCAGTTTGTATTGGAAAAAAGATTTAAAAATATTCCTTTTTTTTTTCTTTCTTATTTTTCTTTTCTTTTAGAGCTTCCTAAAGAATGTGCTTTGGGGCATAAAACTGTTAGGTGTAAAGGGGAAGAAGAAGAATAAGTTTTATGGGAAAATATATTATGAGCTTTAAGAAGTTCTCTACAAAAACAAAACAAAACCCAGCAGTCAAGGTAATTTTGTTTAGCTCAGTATTTACCAAATCTCTATCTGTCCATCACTGCTTTTAGTCATGCAAATAAAATAAATTGCCTAAGAAATTTTTGTCCCATAGAATCTACTTTGGTAAACATTAATTAAGAGGTGGTTTTGGTTTCTGGTTTGTTTGTTTGTTTGTTTTTGTGTGTGTGTGTGTGTGTGTGTGTGTGTGTTTTAAGTGATATTAAAGTTTGCCAATATTTATGTAGAGTAGATGTGCCCTTCCCCTCATATCTTGTAGTATCTAGTTCAGGTAAAATCTACTTGAATAAGTGAGGGCAATGAATTTGAAACAGAACATTAGCTCTTGGAAGTGAAGCCGTGAAGAAGGTTGGAGAAGTAAGTAGCCCAAAGGGGAGCACATGTCCCAGGGAAGGCAGAGAGTTCAACCTCCAGAGTTTAAACATTCCTGCTCCGTCCTCCCTGCTGCAAGCAGCCCTCAGTCACACAGTCCCTCTGCAGAGCTCTGGTCTCTGGGGAAATGGGCCGGGGCTGGCCTTGGTTTGTCTGCCGGAAAAGGACAGATGTCTCCGCAGCCAGTGCTCTGTTATTGTCACTAACAGAGGGAAACCTTTACTCAGGAAATCCAAAGTGACAGCTATTGAGAGTAAACAATGAACTTCAGAGCTTCCTGATCCAGACTGTCTGAATTTAAATCCAGGCTCTGTCACTCACTAACGTTGTCAAGTTAAACAAGATCTCACCTCCCTGTCCCTTGGTTTTCTTATATATAAATTAGGGGAAATAAAAGTTAACTACTTCTTATGGAAATAATGAAGTTTAAATAACAAAATTATTCAGAATAAGCCAAATCTTCAGCAAATGTTAGTTGTTACCACTATAACAACTATTAAAATAATTTTCTTTGTTCTTATTTCATCATTCCCTCGCTGAAGAATTTGTAATGATTCCCATGAACAGTAAACTTATGTTATTAACACTCCATTTACCAGATAACTTCATTGAGAGCTTAGCTCTGTGAAAAGATGGTATCATCACCCTCATTTTACAAATTGAAAAATAGAAAGGTTAAGTGACTTGCACCAGGTCACAGTTGGCAAAGGACAGAACCAGGATTTGAACCCAGGACATCTGACTACAGAACTTGTCTTCTTAACTGTACTATACCACCTCACAAGGCACTCCACATGTTTCATTAACCTGGTTCTCTTTATTTTATTAGGTGTTTATCCTCCTTAAGTCAAGCTAATTTAGCATATTTCCATCTTTTTTAAAAAAAATTATTTTTAATTTTTTAAATAAATCTTTGTTGTTCATATTATTACAAATGTTCCTCATTTTTTCCCCCTCCATTGCTCCCCTCCACCAGGTTCCCACCCCACCCTCTGCCCTTTCCCCACCCTCCATTGTCCTCATCCATAGGTGCACAGTTTTTGCTCAGTCTCTTCCCACACCCCCGACTCCCCTTTTCCCCGAGAATCGTCAGTTCACTCCCCTTCCATACCTCTGCTTCTATTATATTCACCAGTTAATTTTGTTCACTAGATTTTTTAATTCCCTTGGTTTTTAGAGCTCTTGGAATTTGGATGATGTGTCTTGGTGTGGTCCTCTTTGGATTCCTTTTGTTTGGGGTTTTGTGCACTTCCTCGACTTGTAAGTTTAATTTTTTCACCAGATGGGGGAAGTTTTCTGTCACTGTTTTCTTCCAATATGTTCGGTATCTTGCTCTCTCTCTTCTTCTGGGACCCCTATAATTCTGATGTTGGTTTGCTTGAAGTTGTCCCAGAGGTTTCTTACATTATCTTCAATTTTCTGGATTCTCTTGCCTTCTAGCTTCTGTGGAGGAGTATCTCTGGCTCTTTAATGTTCCAAATCTTTGACTTGGTTCTTGCAATCTTCCATGGTGTATAATATTTTTTATTTCAGACAATGTATTCTTTATTTCTTGTTGATCTCTTATCATTTCTTGTTGATCCCTTATCATTTCTTATTGATTCCTTATTAATTCTAGTTGATCTCTTTTCATATCCTCATAAGTCTTATTGATCTTTTCTAGGAAATTCTTGAAAAACCTTATAAGTGTAGATTTGAACTCTATATCCAGTCGCTTTTTGTCCTCCATTTCTTTCGTTTGTGATCTATTTCGTTGTTGCATTTCGCAGCTACAGATGGGGCGGAGTTTCAGGGTGGAGCCTACAGCCTTGGCTTTCGTCAGCCCCACCCTATGCGGTTCCTGGGTCTCAGTGTTCCTCAAGTGTCCTTCTGTACTTGTTGCAAGCACTTCTGAGAGAAAGGTGCCCTCGAGTTTCGCCCGCTACCAGATAGTCTAGTCTCTCCCCCAATGAGCCCAGAACTGGGATTCAGTGCAGTTGGAAGTGGGGTTCAGTGCAGTCTGGAGTTTTAGTCTCCTTCCTGCTAGGGCAATCCAGCGGGACAGTCAACAGTCCATCCTCTGCGCTCAACGTGAGCGCCTCTGGGACTCTGCCTTTTGCCGCTCTCCTGAGATTCCACCTCACCGCCAAGATTCCCTCCGAATGAGCCTGGGTCCCCCGGGTCTGGCCTAGAACTGGGGTTCAGTGCAGTCGGAACTGGGGCTCAGCACAGTCCAGAGCTTTTGTCTTCTTCCCGCTGGGGCAATCCAGCAGCACAGTAAACAGTCCATCCTCTGCACGCAACGTGCGCACCTCCGGGACTCTGCCTTTCGCCACTCCCCTGAGTTTCCACCTTACAGCTTAGATTCCCTCTGTATGAGCCTGGGTCCCCAAAGTCTCACCCAGAACTGGGGTTCAGTGCAGTCGGAACTGGGGCTCAGCACAGTCCGGAGCTTTTATCTCCTTCCCGCTAGGGAATGCCAGCCAGGCACTCAGCCGCCCCCTCCTCTCCAGCTTAGTCCTCTACCCATGCCTGCACTCTGTCTCTGTACCTTAGGTTTTTACAGCTCCTCTGGTTTTCTTCTGGTTATCTCTTTGTTCTCCCCCCCCCCCCCCAATAGTTCCCTTCCACCTGGTTCCCACCCCACCCTCTGCCCTTACACCCCCCAGTGTCCTCATCCATAGGTTTACCATTTTGTCCCAATCTCTTCCCACATTCCCCACACTCCTTTCCCCCTCTGAGAATTGTCAGTCTACTCCCTTTCTTTGCCCCTGATTCTATTATATTCACCGGTTTATTCTGTTCATCAGATTTTTTATTCACTTGATTTTTAGATTCACTTGTTGATAAGTATGTATTTGTTCATATTTTTTCTCTTTATCTTTTTCTTCTACTTCTTTACAGAATACCCTTCAGCATGTCATATAATACTGGTTTGGCGGTGATGAACTCCTTTTTCTTTTTCTTTTTTAAAAAAAATATATTTTAGCCGGGACTGGTTTGGCTCAGTGGATAGAGTGTCAGCCTGCCGACTGAAAGGTCCCGGGTTTGATTCCGGGCAAGGGCATGTACCTTGGTTGCGGGCACATCCCTGGTAGGGGGTGTGCAGGAGGCAGCTGGTCGATGTTTCTCTCCCATCAACATTTCTAACTCTCTGTCTGTCTCAATTCCTATGTAAAATCAATAAAATGTATTTAAAAATTAAAAAAAAAAAATATATATATATATATATATATTTTTTTTTTTTTTTATTGATTTTTTTACAGAGAAGAAAGGAGAATTAGAGAAATAGAGTGTTAGAAACATCGATGAGAGAGAATCATCGACCAGCTGCCTCTTGCACACCCCCTACCGGGGATGTGCCCGCAACCAAGGTACATGCCCTTGACCGGAATCAAACCTGGGACCTTTCAGTCTGCAGGCCAATGCTCTATACACTGAGCCAAACCAGTTTCGGCTCCGTTAGCCTTTTCTTATCTGTGAAGTTTTTTATCTGACCTTCAGTTCTGAATGACAGTTTTGCCAGGTAGAGTAATCTTGGTTGAAGGTTCTTGCTATTCATCACTTTGAATATTTCTTGCCTCTCCCTTCTGGCCTGCATAGTTTCTGTTGAGAAATCAGCTGACATTCCAATGGGTATTCCCTTGTAGGTAACTGTTTCTTTGTCTTTTGTTCTTGGCATTTTAATTATGATGTGTTATGGTGTGATCCTCTTTGGATTCTTTTTGTTTGGGGTTCTCTGTGCTTCCTGGCCTTGTAAGTCTTTTTTTTTTCACCAGGTGGGGGAAGTTTTCTGTCATTATTTCTTCAAACTGGTTTTCAATATCTTGCTCGCTCTCTTCTTCTGACATCCCCATAATTCTGATGTTGGTATGCTTGAAGTTGTCCTAGAGGCTTCTTACACTATCTTCATAGTTTTGGATTCTTTTTTCTTTTTTCTTTCTGGTTAGGTGTTTTTTGCTTCTTCATGTTTCAAGTCTTTGGCTTGATTCTTGCGATCCTCTGGTCTGCTGTTGGATCTCTGTATATTATTTCTAGTTTGTCCTTTTGTTTAATTTCTGGTTGGTCCTTTTTCATATCCTCAAAGGACTCACTACATTTATTGGCAGTTTCTAGAAAATTCCTGAAAAACCTTATAACCGTGGTTTTGAACTCTATATCCAGTAGTTTGCTTTTCTCCATTTCTGTCATTTGTGTCCTGTTTCTTTGTCTCGCATTTTGGCTGCTTCCCTGTGTTGATAGAAGTTTTGTGTGCTAGGTGTCCTATAGGGCCCCGTGGCTCAACCTCCTCAGTTACCTGAGGTGGACACTGTTGGTGCACTCCTTTGTGGGCTGTGTGCACAGTCTTGTTGTAGTTAAGCCTTGAATGTTGTTGGTATCATTAGGGGGAATTGACCTCCAGGCCAATTGACTGTGAGGATCAGTTG